CATCTAATTTTGTAGAAAAACGTTTGCTCTACAAAATGCATTTGTTAAAAAAATTCCAGAATCATTTCTTAGAAAACTCGGAGTATTCGAAAAATACATTAAATCACGGAAAAAAACTGTCCGAACAGTTTTTTTTTTTCGTAATTTAGTATATTTTAGAATGCTCTAAGTTTTCTTAGAAATGGTTCTGGAATTCTTTTAACAAATGCATTTTGTAGAGCAAATATTTTTCTACAAAATTAGATGTTTTACAGCTCTGAGAGAATCGTGATAACTGATTTATAGCAATTCTCCCGGATGCCCCAAAAGGTCTTCCGGCCAGACTGATCATCGCCATATAATATCACACAGCCATTACCACAACAGCCTACGAGTTATGTATCCTACTACTTAATGAAGAATTGTATTATTGAATTATATTCATCAATTAAGCACACTTCAAAAAGTACCCGTTAACCATATGAATTTACATTTAATAATAATTATACATTTATTCGAATTATATTTAACCATTCTATTTATAACACGACTTCGAGTTGGAACATATTGTATATAAAACGACGGCATAAAACATTAGTAGTAAACAGAAACGACAATACAGAGAGAGGTGATGATGGACAGAGTTCGAAGAGTCCATTGTCAAATCTCAGTTAAAATAATAATTGTATATTGACTAAAATTACGTCTTTCTCACGATCATTTGCTGTAACACGTTTACTGTAATTAAAAATTATTTGAATTTTACTAATTCTAGGACTTTATCCACAGCGACATCTTGGAAAAACACTCGTAGAAATGCGTCCCATATTGCATAATCTTGTAAGAAAATGTTTATTATTTCTGATATTTTAAAGTGTTTTATTTTTTATTTTTAATTCTACAGTCCGAAAAATATGGCATAAATATATGTGGCGAAGGTGGTGAATACGAAACATTGACACTAGATTGTTCATTATTTAAGAAACGTATAGTCATGTATGTTTTAATGAAGAACAACAATAGATAATAATACAAATGATTTTCTTCTCTATCTTTCAGTGATCATTTCAAAATTGTGCTTGGCTCTGCCGATGTTGGCTATTTGAAAGTTGAACAAGCTCATCTAGAAGATAAATCAGATGGATTATGAACATTTATCTAGTCTTCCAATAGAAAAAGTCTTTTAGTCACATGTAGAGACTATGCTACAGTGTGTACTATTAATAAATTTGATTTTCTCTCCAACTGTTCAAATATTGTTATGACTTCTTTTTATGTTTATTGAATTTGTAATACAAATTCTAGTTTTTCGAAAGTATTTTCAATTTTTTTTTTATGTTGTGACATGTATTGCAATGCAATAGATAAAAACGGAAATAAAGTCGAGTTTTTAAGACAATAAAATTATCTTTGATAAGACAAAGATCTTCCACTTAGAGTATACTGTTCAATATTAATCATGTATTTACTCTAAAAGTGATAACTAATCTTCAATCAATGAGAGATCATTTAATACGTACTAGATGATACCATCTTTGTAGTGAATTCACAAACTCTGTAAATAAAATGAATGATATCGTGTAGTGATTTGTCTTGTATTTATCAACAAAAAGAGCGACTTCGTTTCACACTTTTATCTGATTTTTATCAAAAATATGCCAAAACTGATTAATCATCAATATAATATCAAAAAAGCGAATGATTTCTTAAGAGAGTGATCAAAAAAACAAAATATAATCATCATCCATCACCAAACAGGTAATAAATATTTTAATAATTTGTATACTAAGGTAAAAATATTAATCATAGAATAAATGTATCCAAACATGCCTATCAATCTGTCTTTCCTGTTAATGCTCTATGTATATATATATTTAAAGACTTAAGTTAAAGGCTGTATTCTTTAAAAACTTAAAAGAGTCATTGATTTAATCATTGTTATTTAAGTGTCGGAAAAAATAACAGTTCGCTTGTAGCTGAGTGTAAGTAATATGTTCATAATTTGATTTTGCAATAAGTTTGATAGATCTGAGATGAAAGTGAATAAAGACAGACTAATATTGATTTTTGAGTTCAGACACATCACATCTCATTCACACTTTTATTTATTTTACATATAAAAACAAAATAAAAACCTACTGGTCATTGATTATTTCTCAAAAAAATAAAAGATATTTCACTAATTTATGCAATGAAACATTTTCGTTAAGTATCTGGATATACTTTCTATGTATAAGAAGAATTTTTATTAGCACTGTTCTAAAAAAAAAAGAGACTGTCAACTAGAAAACTCTGAAAAGGAGAGTTTAGTAAGGTGAAAGATTTTTAAAATGACTCCTTTTAAAAAACCCTGTGCATCAGTTTTTCTGAAAATATCTTTTTTCGTGTTGTGTGTAATTTTATTTTTCTAAACTTAAAGATGTAGAAACTTCTCGATGTACTAAATTCTTTTTCTTCGTATTTTGTTGGTGACACTGGTGTTTTTCCAGAGAGTACTTCGGCCCGTCCACGTAACGTGTGATTCCGTCACGATTTTTGTTGTTTTGCGAGTCTCTTGGCGTTCGAACAAAAGGAAACTAAGAAATTGTTTACATCTAGTCTTGTAGAGAAAAGTGAGCTGAACAGAATGTGATATTTTCCGTTTTCGCAGAATATCGTGTTCGTCAAGTACAACAAAATTTTTACAAGCCCCAATTAAAAGTCCGCCAAAACGGGGCTCGTAAAACTTTTGTTATACTTGAGAACCACGACACTCTGTGGAAATAGAAAATATCACATTTTGTTCAGCTCACTTTTCTCTACAAGACTAGATGTAAACAGTCCTTGAGTTTCCTTTTGTTCGAGCGCCACGAGACTCGTAAAACAACAAAAATCGTGACGGAATCACGAAAAGGTGACCGTTACGTGGACAGGCCGTACTCTTTCTTCTTATTTGTATCCAAAAATGAACACATAAACATTGATTGTATTTAAAAAATTAATAGAATTAGATAAATATTAGTGGTGAAACTGATATTTCGTTCATTTACGGCTAACTAGAGTGCCAAAAATTTGATACACACTTTATCAATTTTACTTTTTTTTTCTTCTTCTTATTGGTACATTTAATATTGTTTTTCTTTCTTCTACTCTCTCACTGTTTTTGATATCTAAAGTGTTCTATTTGTTCAACATACATTTCTTTATTAAAGATAAAAGAGAAAAAACTCGATTTGTTGAAATGCAGAAGAAAAAGAAACCCGACAAACTTTTTTAATTAGACCATGATAAATGAAACCTTTCAATTTCATTGAAATATGTGTCAAATAGAGGACGGAACTTTTGTTTTAATTTTTTACTTAATATTCATTATATTTATGAATTATAGAAAAAAAGTATTTGAATATATTTTAAAGATTATGTTAGGAAAATGGAACGATTGAGATCCTAAAGTTTAAATCATTTACTAAATATATCAGTGAGAAGAACAGCGGCGTCTATTTTGAGACATTTTGTTGGTTCGGTCTCTCGATCTCTTCTGAAAAATGAATTTTTACAGCAAAAAAAGTGTACCATCTTACTTTTGTTTGAGTCATTGCGCCTCAAATATCATCCACAAGAGAGACACCTCTGGAGAAGAAATATTTTATAAACGGATCCTGTTATCATCGTTAGATTAAAGAGTTCACATACAATTCCTTCGTCAAAATTTGTTAGGTTTGTTATTAATATGATTATTTTTTTATGTAATTTTCTTGTATGATAAATGATGAAAATCATCTCTATTTGTATCCTTTGATGGAAACAGAAAACATCAAATATAATCGATATCTCAGAGATGATAAATCATCTTTTTTTTTTCTTTTTTTTGTTTTTTGATATTATTTATCTTAAATACAAATAAACGAACTAGTGGTTGGTATGGTATAAGAATTGTAAAACAAGTTACTCATTATTCATATCAGAAAAGTTCATTGTCAAAGTACATGAAAGAATATGTTTAACATATAAGACATATGATAAGTCAATGATGATAGATTAATACATTTATCTTAATTAAGCAAGTACCGACACTTTTGATAGTACTAAATACACCAAATAGAACATACACCTTTGACATGATGCACAAGTCTAAGAACATTTTTAGAACATAATATTTTGGAAATAATATTGACTTTTTCGTTTTTGTTATTATTAGACTCTCTTTTCTAGTATAACTCTACATTGTATACCTAGATGTATTAAATTTTTTAAAAATAACATTTTCAAAGAAAGTAATATATTTGTTGAATCTAAAAACTTTCAAAGTTTATTCTTAGAAATCGTATTGAGTATTATTGTCAAATAAAAAGAAAAAAAAAAAAAAACAAGAAAAGATTTTTTTCTTTTTTTTCTCCTTTCTCATTCTTTTTATTCATTCGTAATTCCGTCATGATGATATATGACGCATAAGAAGAAGAATACTACCGACGAATTGAATCAATGAAAAGTGTCAAAAAAGGAAATTTAAGCCGGATATGCACAGCTCATTTGTGTAATCAGGTGAAAAAAGATGTTTTCAGAATTAGATGAAGAAACTTTCGGAACACTTTAAATGAAATATATTCTTCTTTTATTATAATCTAATCCTATCGGTATTGTTTCTTTTATAAATGAATAGTTTAAGATGTCTAACATAAATCTATACTTGTGAATTAGTTGGATACATATATTTCAAAGAAACTAAATCTCGGCATGATACTTTTTTTTTTCTTTT